TGTGTGTGTGTGTAGGTATGTGTGTGTGTGTGCGCGTGTGTGTGTACTCATGCTTGTGCACAGCCCGGGCACAGACACAAGTCTGGCCTTCAAGCAAAAGGCACACAAACACCATCCACTCGTATATTGATAGGGGAGAGACTTGAAAAGAAGGCAGCAATCACTTTTAATGTCCAACCAGTTTCTTGGTTCCAGAACCACCTGCACGCTTAGGTCAGAGGAACTGAAGCGTCACTAAATGTCAGCTTCGCCATTGTCCTGAGCTAATGTGAGAGAAGAGACCTTCCTTCCTTCCTCTCTCCCCAAACATCTAATGCTACTCCCTGGTGGAAGAGGAAAGGTCACAGGAAGAGGAGAAAGCCAGAGCCTCACAGGCAAGAGGAAGAAGCAGACATAACCACAGCAAAGTAAAGCTCTGACGAGAGGCAGGGCAAGGAAGTCTTCACAGCAAAGGGCCCTTCTCGCTGGAAATACAGATGGGGCAGGCATTTGCCAGACAGAGAAGCGGGAGGAGGCAGAGTATTCAGGCAGAGGAAATAGCACGTATGAAAGCACAAAGCGATATAATTAGATTTCTGTTTTGGAAGAATTACTTGGCCCTGGTTAACAGATTCGGAGAGAGCTGAAGCAGTAAATGTGAGCAGGTGCGTCGTGTGGCGGAAAGAGCACTGCACCAGCAGTTAGGGCTTCTCAGTTCTGGGACCAGCTTGGCTACGGACCAGCTGGGTGTCCTTACACAAGCCTCTTAACCTCTCTGACCTCAGTTCCTCATGGATAAAATGAGTGGGCTCGATCAACTAGTTTCTAAGATCCTCTCTGCACACATGTTCTATCATTCTAACTCTTCCTGCGGATACTTCTTTAAATTATGTTCTTTATCATATTTATGCACTGAGTCCTTTCATATGAATAGCACTTTACAGTTTACAAGAGTATTTTCCATACAATATCTTTTGACCTTCACACTCTTGTGAAGGTGATAGCTACATTGCCACTCTAAATGATCTTGTCCAGTCCATGGCTATAAACACCATCTCTACGGTGATGATGTTCAAGTTTGTATCTGCAGCTCTGACTTTGCTCTTGGAATCCAGATGCAGAGAACCAACCAACTGCCTGCTGCTCTCCTCCACGCGAATATCTAATAGGCATCTCGAAGTTAATATGTCCAACACTTAACTTCTGTTTTCCTTTTCTCAGACCAACTTCTCCTTCCAACTTCTCCACCCTAGTAAATAAAAATTCCATTATTTGATTTTCTCAATGCCAAAATCTTGAACTCATCCCATATTCCACATCTAACCCATCAATAAATACCATGGTTTCTTTCTACCTGTGCAATGTTTTTGGAGTTTGATTTCTTT